TGCTAGAGATGCAAAAATAATAAAAAAAATGTTCTTTGGTAATAAAAAAGAAAGCCAAAGAGAGAATAGTGAAGGTTAAGGGTGATGGTGATAAAATTCTAACTCGGATCTTTTCTCAGAAGGAAAATGGAGCTTTGGCTGGTAAAGCCATTGTGGAAAGGAAGGAATACAGCTAAGGACAGATAAGAAGAAGGCAAGAAGGTTTTAGCTGGTTTAAATGAATTCAAGTCTCCTGGCCCAGATGGATTATATCCTCAAGTTCTGAAGAAATGGAGGCGATTCATGAAATACTTTCAGAAATCTTCAAAAACGTCTGGAAGACTGGAGAGGCCCTCACAGAATGGCAGAGAGCAAATGTCATCTCATCTTCAAAAGAAGAAAGTGGAGGGATCTTGGCATCTCCTTCGTGTTGATCTTGGGCAAGAACTTTGAACAGATTACCAAGCAGCAGGCTTGTGGATGCTTGGGTAAGCATGCTAGGAATAACAGGAACCAGCATGGATCTATTGCCAAGAAATGGTTGGGGGGAAATATTACATGGAGCACCACCGGATTCTGTCTTAGCCTCGTTTCAACATTTTCATTAATGACTTGCAGGAAGAAATCAAGGGGATGCTTTAAAAAGTTTGCAGGTGACACAATGTTGAAAGATGAGCTAAGACTTTACAGGAAGAAGATTGAAAAATATCTGGGCAGGATGGAACAAGGGGCTGAAATAAATGGGATGAGATCGAAGAAAAAAGAAATGTGGAAAAATGCCAGGCTCAAGTGTAGGATGTGGGAGGCATTTCAAAGAGGTCAGGATGGCTTTGTTGACCATATGAAATATAAAGATAAAATGTCAAATCCCACCTTGGGTATTTATACAGGAGCCTACTGTCTTAATCACAGGAGAAATTATCTAGTCTTCTCTGGTCAGGCTCCAACTGGAGTCTATTCAAAAAAGAAAGGGACAAACATGGTTGAAGGTAGAGGAAGATTATTAGGATGCTACAGATTCTGGAAGCATCCCAGTATTTGAGGGGCTGCCACAAAGAGGAGGGGCTCAACTTATTTTCCAAAGCACCAGAGGGCAAAGGATGGCAACTGATCAAGGAGAGAAGCAACCTGGAATTAAGGAGAAACTTCCTGACAGTGAAGACAATCAACCAGTGGAACAGAAATTGCCTTCAGAAGTTGTAGGTGCTTCATCACTGGAGGTTTTTAAGGAAAGATTGGACGGCCACCTGTCTGAATTCCTATAGGGTCTCCTGCTTGAACAGGGGGCTGGACTAGAAGACCTCCAAGGTCCCTTCCAGTTCTATTCTGAAGCTCAGCTTAATGAGAAATGATCAGAAGATCTGATATAATTCATCTACAGATGAGGGGACCGTGGGCAGATGTAATAACCATCTTCAAACGAATGTCACACAGAAGAGGGAGGACAGAATTTATGAATTAAAACTATAACCGAGGAGGTTGAGGCTGAAGATCAGGAGGGGCTTCCCAATTGTGTGAACTACCGTCTAGCAGAACAGGCTGTTCCGTGTCAATTCCCCATCTTAATAGAGTCCTTCAGACCAAGGCTGCAGGGTCATCTGTCAGACATGCTCAAGTGGAACCCTCACGGAACACCCAGTGGTGCTTGATGGCGTCTTCTGAGCTCCGATTCTGGCATTTTGTGGTTCACTGAGCTCCCCTCAGAAATTGCAGTTGTCACAAATGGAGCGAGTGGACGTGACTGGGACCCATTTTGTGGAAACATCTAACACCCTGTGACATTAAGTAGTCCGACCGCTTGTCCCTCTCTAAGTGTAATTCAAAGTATTGTCTACCATCAGGACTCCCCTGAATGCTGTAGGACCATCTCCTTCTCCCCCAAATAATCCTGCCCATCGACTGAGGTCTTTGGGAGAATCCTTCCCTTCCAGAAAGGTTCCCCCAAATGAAAAGGAGCATTGTCAGTTATCCAGTTTTTTGGATTTTCCCAAAGATTTACACGGGGTTTTTCCCTGTTCTTTTGACAGCCATTAATTTCTCATCTCAATGGACTTTTGCTTGGCTGATCAGTTCTACTTATTCTGTTTTACAGAAATTACCTTAAATATCTTTATGTTAGATGTGATTACAGTATCTTTCCCCCCTGTGTTGCTGTCTTGGGCGCTTCAAATTTTGCACTCTTCTTATTTCCCAGGAACAGTCTTGAAATTGGTTGGTTTTGAGGAACAGTGGCTTCTTCTTAGTGAAACAAATGCTGATACTTGGGCTAAAGTTGATTATAACTGAAGTTCTGTAATTGGCTGTGATTACGGGTTTTTGAACTGGCTACTCTATAGTCTTGTCTTTGAGGTGAGTTGTTCTTTGGGGGGTTTGGTGACCTGTAGGGGGGTTTTGTTGTTAGAAAATATGTATTTCCACATGATACCTATGTTTACAAATCAAGATTTCTTTTTTAAAAAAATACATGACATAAGTGCAATCATAATATTCAGATGTGTTCTCAGGAATTAGCAGCCTCTCCTAGTTTTGCAGGTAAAACTACTATTCTTTAGGAAAAATAACCAAATGTTCAGAAGTATAATTCAAAACCCAGCACAATAATTCTTGTTTAGCAACCGTCACAGGAACTAGTCCCTCAGTGATTCAGCAAAGTGGTTGCTGAATGAAATATTTCAGCTCTCCTTGCTTTACAGACCTACCAAGGTTGTAAGTGGGAGGTTTGGTTGCAAAATGATTTTTTCGTCTTCATTGTTCCTGCAAACTGTCACTGAGTAAGGTAGTTGCTAAATAAGCACCACAAGTAATGGGATGCAATGGACTGTTGGCTCAGTCTAACAAAGGGAAATTCAAAGCAACTTTTGCACTTGGACAAAAAGACTGATTTAACACCAATATCACACACACACACACACAAAACAAAGGATTCTGGATGTTGGCTAGTTTTTGTGTTACATCTATATCACATTCAGTCACACACTGCATATAAATCAGCTGAGAAATATGATGTGGCTGTGAAAAAAAAGCTCCTGTAATTTATGAAGCAATTTCTTAGTTACAAGAAGTAGGAGTTGTACTTTAATGCACATTAGTTAAGCATATTCTGGGTTACCAACAACAAATCTTGAAGTATAACATGGAAAAATTGTGCCTTCAGATTCAAAGAAAGGCATTAATTCATGGAAGACACAACCTTTAAGAATTGAGGTTGAAAGAATTTTTATAGAATGGAGGGAGACAGGAGAGCATTCTGGAAAAATGCTGTACAGGTGGCCCTCAATTTACAACTGTTCAAAATTACAAGAGTGCTGAAAAAGTGATTTAGGACCATTTTTCAGACTTACAACCATTGCAGGATCCCCAGGGTCATCTGGTCAAAATTCAGGTGCTTAGCAACTGACTCGTATTTATGACGGTTGCAGTGTCTCAGAGTCACGTGATTCCCTTTTGTGACCTTATGACAAGCAAAGTCCATGGGGAAGCCAGATTCATTTAACGACCGTGTTACTAACTTAACAACTGCAGTGATTCACTTAAGAACGGTGACAAGAAAGGTCATAAAGTGGAGCAAAACTCAACAAATGTCTCGTTTAGCAACAGAAACGTTGGGCTCAGTTGTGGTCGTACGTCAAGGATGACCTGTAGAAGACAAAAGGTTAGAATGCCTGCTAGGGATCTCAGAAGTAATTTTGTCCCACCGGGATCGGGTGGTTACCCGAGGGCAGGAAGAGAGCTGATGGGTCCAAGAGAAACTTCTGAGAAACAGCCCAGGTTGAAACCAGTTAATGTGGGAAACGATGAGACCACGGATCATTATCTGGACTAATCGAGATCATCGGAGCTCATCTGTAACAAGCGATTCATAAATCTTAGGACACGGAACCTCGGATAATTACACTTAGTAAAATTCTGTTGGCAATGAATCAATTTGATATGCACACGTAATGGTTGAATGCCTAAAAAATTTCCTTTTCAGCACTGGAAAGATAAATGAAAAATAGAAGAAAATTCTCTGTTAAGTGCATTCCCAGCTGCATTATGTCATCAACAAAGTTGAGATGCTGCTTTATAGATAAATGAGGCGGGCTTGTTTATTAAAGATTTTGATGCTCCTAATAAAGTAATGCAGACCAGTAAAATCTTCGGATACCAAGAAACAGAATTCAATGTTGCAGGTTAATCTGAATTTTGTCCTGGTTCTATTTTGGAGGACGTTAAGCTTCATTTTCTAACACAGGCAGGTCAGTTTCCTCAGCTCCCTTTATGGCACGTGCTCTCATCAGTGCCAAGAGACTTTAGCAGTTGACCATGTAGAAATCTTAATAAGCATTTTAATTTAACAGCTGGCCTTTAACAGCCGTGAAGGGCATGTAGGGAGGGAATACAAATCAAATCAAGAATAGCCATTTTTCACTGCTGGCTGCAAACGTGGAAACATTGGGGGTTCTTTAAAAGAGAGGTCAGTTCTGAATATAGTTGGTCCTCGACTTAAAAACACAATCAAGTCCCAAATTTATGTTGATAAGTGAGACAGTCATTAAGTGAGTTTTGCTCCATTTTACAACTTTTCTTGCCACAGTTGTTAAGTGAATTTGGCTTGACTTTGCTTGTCAAAAGGGCGCAAAAGAGGATCACATGTCCCCGGGACACTATGACCGTCATAAATACGAACCTGTTGCCAAGTGTCTGAATTTTGATCACATGACCGGGAGGGGGGGATGATGCAACGTTCGTAAGTGTGGAAAATGAGCCTAAGTCACTTTTTTCAGTGCCGTCGTAACATCGAACAGTCACTAAATGAACTGTTGTAAGTCGAGGACTGCTTGTATAGCAGTACCTATTTATTAGAGAAAATCCTTTTATTAGCTGAAGAAAGGAATATATAGAGTGTATTGTGTCAGCCACCTTCACGCAATAGATAGGAATCGTGTCATGGATGTGACTTTTGGGTCTGTGTTTCCAAAATCAACCCGGCCTTCTCTCTTCTGACAGGTGTCGTTTATTTCTCTTCCTTATCTCCATAGTAATATGCTTTGTTGTGACCAAGTCCTTGCTGGTGATCTGCTGCTTGCCTGTCTTTCTGATGGGCACGAGGTACTACTTCAGTAGGAAAGTTATCCTCAACTATCTCGAGTGCGCCCTGAACACGGACATGTCTGACATTGAGCAATATTACATGAAATCCCCAGGTGAGTGACGAAATCCACGGAGGAACTGACCCACCACCTCACAATTTGTGAAGCGGAATAGTTTAACATCTGCCCTCGTGTCCTGGCGGGTGAAGGGTCCATATTTAGTCTAGACCAGGGCTCCCCAACCTTGGCAACTTTAAACCTGGAAATTCTGGGAGTTGAAGTCCGCCAGGTTTAAAGTTGCCAAGGTTGGAGAGCCCTGGTCTAGACAATGGTAGTGCTTATTGGCTTCCTGGGCCCTTCGCCTTAAATGAAAACAATGGAAAAATATTCTGCCATTTTTTAAAATCCTGCTACTTCGGGTTTAGGTGGAAGCGTTGAGAGTTGGATGTCAGCAAATCCCTTTGTTTTCCCTGGATTCAGCCTGTGGTGCTACAGGCAATCCAGTTGATAGGACTTTACTTGGCTTTTCTGTAAAAAAAATCTTGCATGTCTTAAATATTGTAGCAAAAAAAAAAAGAAAGAAAAAGAAATCTGGGGAACGCTTCAGAGATTGTATTATTGGGGATATTTGGTACCTGTACATATTTTAAAAAGGCACATGAATCCAGGATACGTGGAAGATGTCTTTGTATGGTTGGAAGGAAAGACTTGCTCCAATTGAGTTCCATCCCTGCTAATGACGTGGGCACCATGCAGCAGCCCCCTTGGCAAGGGCTGGTTTGCCGTTGGCAGGAGGGGCTCCCTGCCGCACGTCCTGTGAGATCTTTTACCCAATGCTAGATGAACCTAGAACTTGGAGTTGACCTCCTGCCCTCTCTCAGCAGTCTCAAGACCATCTAGGCTCAAGGATTCCTCTGTGACAACGTGGATAAATTTGTACAACAGACCTGTCACTGTAACTTACGGAGAGGGGGGTGTTTGTGTGGTGTGTGTGTGTGTGTGTGTTTTAAAAACGTTATCAAAATAGTTACATTTATGTATTTATTTGATTTTTATCCCACCTTTATTACTTTATAAGTAAGTCAAGGCAGCAAACATGCCTCACATTTGTTATGTTCTGGGTGAAAAATGGGGGTGAAGCCAGAGTGACTTCTAACACCTCTTTGTTCCATGCTGTCTGTGAGGCAATTGTTGCTTGCTGGCTGACACAGCTCTTTTTATAGGGAAGCTGATCAGCCCACAACCAATCAGAAGAGAGTATTTTCCTGCTCCAACAGAGGACCAGATTGAGAACTTCAACTGACAACTATATACAATACATAACAATATTCCTTTCTCCTCATGTTTTCCCCAGAACAACAACCCTGTGAGGGTGGTTGGGCTGAGAAAGAATGACTGGCCCAAAGTCACCCAGCTGGCTTTCATGGCCAAGGTGGGACTAGAACTCACAATCTCCTGGGTTCTCGGCCGGCAACTTAACCACAATACTGTATTTTGCCCTGTCTCAGAGAAACAAATGCAGTAAAATGTTTCTATACGTTCTGTGTGCTTATATATTGCCCTTGTAGTCCATTTGTGAAATGTTTTGGGTACTCCCTAAGTATTCTGCTAATCAATTCTTTGTCTATATAGGATTTATCTCTCTTTTTTTAAAAAAAAAAAAAGTGGCCTAGTGTTGTCCTTCAGCTTGAAACCTAGGAATATTGTTCAAGTGATTTGTGAACCAAGGTATAAGTTAAATCTATTTTGAGTAGAGACTGGTGAACGAAGGGGGTCTTTTGGTCTGGCAGAAAGCTACCCCCGTTTTATCCTTGCTATTCGGGTGCCTGAAAGAATATCTGAAGGGAGGGAAGGCATATATATTCCTGAGACTGGCACCGATTTGCTGACCATGTTTATCGATGCCAGTGAGGAAGGGATCCATCCATCCTTAAAACGCAGTTCCTTCTCCCCAGCAGAAGATACAGAGAGGGGGGCTTCTCTCTTGCCAAACCTCAGTTGTGGCTCAAGAGGCTTCCCTGTCTCATCAGGGCAAGGGTTAGTAAGGAAAAAGGGTGTTGCACAGTTACAGAATCTACAACCCTCCTGAATTAGTGGAACGTCTCCAGGCAATGAGGAAGAACATTATTCTAGTCTCCTCCATGAGTTTGAAGAAAAGATTATGCTGCCATTTGGGGGGCTTTGACCTCAGAGCAGGTTATCTCAATGGGAGGGATGGGATTTCAAAGTTCCCCTTTAAAGATTTCGGAGTGTGGGCATGCCTTGATTTAGAAAAATCCCACAGCAGACCCTCAAGCTGGAGCCCTCCTGCTCGAAGGGGGGTTACGATGAGGTTTGATTTGCTACTGATTTTTGGGATTACTGTGAAAGGTTTTATTTAAAACATATGTTTACAAGATTCCTCTTATCATCCTGTAAGCCATTTGTACTTAATGTGGTGGTGGTGGTGTGTGAAGTAGGAGGAAATAACTTCAAATAAATACACAAAGCAATCTGAAAACAAATCATGTTCATTGCTAATTAGGAAATAAATCCTATCAGAAGTGAAGTTCAAGCTTTTGCCGCCAATGAAGTCAGTTTCTCCAGAAAATATGGTTCCATAGAGCCTTCAGACAAATAAAAGCATGGCTTTCCAATTTATATTGAATCTCTGGTTGTTTATATTGAGATCCTTGGGTCAGAGATTCCATATTTAAAGTGTGTTTGCATGCCCCCTGGATCGACCGCAATGGTTGAGAGGAATCGTTAGATCTTACACTGTTTTATGGGGTCCAGACCTTTGAGGCCAATTACTGAATATTTCTTACTTGTTGCTTAACCGATCAGGTGTTCATATTGTAGGCTTCTAAGGATCTTCTTCCATTCTCTCTATTAATATGCTTGTGTAATTTGTTTTGCTGATTCAGAAAAAAATATTTCCACATTCCAACTCTCGGAAAGCTTTGATTGATCCATATAAGGGATGTATTTGAAAGCGGGATGCCTGTGTTCAGGTTGTGAAGGTTTACAAAAATAAGATTATGCATGTGTGATCTCAAAATCTTATATTAGCTGGCAGTAACAATCAGAATTTAATCAAGTCAAGTTAGGAGTAGTTGCTTGTGAAACAGTGAAAATGTATTTGAAACATATTTCAGATATTTGGGGCAAATTCAGTAATTTCTATAAACGGCACCTTATTTCAATAAAGCTTTTGTAATCAGAACTTCCAGTATTATAACTTAACAACAGTTCATTTAGTGACCATACAAAGTTACAGCGGCACTGAAAAAAGTGACTTATGACCATTTTTCACACTTACGGCCGTTGTAGCATCCCCAGGGTCACGTGATCAAAATTCAGAGGCTTGGCAACTGGCATGGACTTATGACGGCTGCCCTTTTATCACCTTCTGAAGAACAAAGTCAAAGGGGAAGCCAGACTCACTTAATATTGTGAAGTGGGGCAAAACTAACTTAACAACGGATTTGCATAGCAAGAGACATTTTGGGCTCAATTGTGGCCATAAATGAACGTATCTTTTCTTTTATGTACTCCGAGAGCCTATGCACCAAGACAAATTCCTTGTGTGTCCAATCACACTTGGCCAATAAAGAATTCTACTCTACTCTACTCTACTCTACTCTACTCTACTCTACTCTACTCTACTCTACTCTACTCTACTCTACTATTCTATTCTATTCTATTCTATTCTATAAATCGAGGACTACCGGTGTAGTTTCGGAGAGTCCCCAGGCTTTGCCATTCTGTGGTTGGGGGATGGGGGGTTTGAATATCCGGTGAAAATGCCGACCGTTACTTTGAAAGAGGTTCAGCTGCTTTGCAGAAGGATTTGTTGGGGACAGAAGAAACAGGCCAATCTTTCAAAGCAAATGGCGTTTTTCTCCTTTGTTTTTTCCTTCCTTGGGAAATGGGTTGAATGGCCAGAGAGCAAAAGGCATTTGCAGGGCAGGCAGAAAGGTGGGGTGGTGGTCGTTGTTTTTCCCCTTTTGTCAGCTGCAAACTTGGAACTCTTTGCGAAGTTGATTTCTAGTCCACTGAGGTTAGCTGTTCTTTCACTGCACTGCAATTGAAGCAGAAGCAGCAGAAGAGAAGGAACAAGTCCTCCTTCATAGCACAAAGGCTACACACACACACACACACACACACACACACACACACACGAATTGCTCTGGCCCTCTTCCACGGAGAGTGGGTGAGGGGGGAAAAGAGGAAGGAGCATGAAAGGAAGCCTTGGAGTGAAGTTGCCAGGCTGGACAGGGCCAAAAGCTGCCAGCTGGGGGGTGCAGCACCAGACGTGAAGCTCCACACCTGATGTGCGTGTGGGACGCAGAAGGGACGGGGCTGCAGGGGCTGCCAACCTGGAGGGGGGGAGAGGGAGGGAGAGAGAGAGAGAGAGACTCCCATCAAGGAAGAAGGAGGAAAAGATGAGGATCCACTGCAACACAAGTAGCCCTCCAGCTACGACCACAAGGGAGGTTGGGTATTGCAGTTGTGATTTTCAGTGGTTGTAAAAGAAGGTTGCTCATGTGACTTGACCTGATTTTACACCTGTTTTGTTTTGTTTTGTGTGTGTGGTGGTCGTTAAGTGAATTAATGATTCACCATGGCCCAGTTTTGCCAAAAACACTTCCGTAAGACCCAGGTTTGGGGGAACTCGTTGTAAATTGTGGTCACGTGATCACAAACAGCCGTAGATGGGGCCGGGTTGTGGTAGCATGATGGAGTGGGGGGGAGTGGTGGCTTTTGAAACTTCAAATCCGGATCCTAAGAACCCCTCAGGTAGGTACATTGCAGCTTTGAATGGTCAGTAAGCATCTAGGTCGTAAGTCGAGGATTGCCTGTGGAAGGTCCCTGTGTGAACATTGCCTGCTCCCTAATCTAGCATCCTCAAGAAAATGGCGCTTTCCCAAAGTTTGGGGAAAAGGCAGGAGTCTATAACTACGAAATTCCCCTGAAAACCAAAAGCGTTTGGCATCATTCTAGTGCTCAGCGAGCACTGCGTGTGCCAAGTTTTATGAAGCTGAGATTTTAGTAGCCCTGGAACGCTGAGCTGAAAGATTTTGTAGTTAGTCATTCCCGAAGCTGCATATTTCAGTGAGAGGATGGGTGGG